ATACACACACACACACACACACACATATACGCACACACACAGAAAGATGAAAACCTCAAAAGATATGACCATCTACTTCGCTCAGCCCGGCGGTCCAGCCTCCTAAGAAAGCTAACAGTCTTGAGACAAGCGTTAAACCTATACACTTAATTAGAGGCGGCTGGGAAAAGATCAGAGAACATTGCGGGTCTCAAGACATAAGGCCATTTCGCTAAAATGGCTTGTTAGGAACAATGTTGAGGGTGTCGGTCATTCCAGAAGCCTTCCACATGTTTAGGAACCTGACAGGATTCTGATAGCGTGCTCCGGTCACTATCGTAGTGTGAGACACGATGACATTTTCCAGTCTGCTGAAGCCCCCCACCCCCCACCCCATTTCCACAGGGGGGGGGGGGGAACCATCTTGCATCAATCACAACATGGTTAATTTACAACCTGTTTGACACAACAGGTCCACACATCCTACAACATTCTATACGAAAACAGAACAGGTGCCTGTCACTCCACTAACACAAATAGAGTCGATGAGAGCGTAAAACGTGTGGGTTAATCCAAACACTGTCAAAGAGGACGTAAAAATATAAGATGTTGCAGCATGTACTTATCATACCACTAACCCAAACAGAGTCAATGAGAGCGTAAAATTGTCGACAAAGAGAGTCAATGTCGACGTAAAATGTATGGCAACAAGCACCTGTCGTACCACACTAACCCAACAAACCAGAGTCAATGATGACGTAAAAATATCACCAACCCAAATGTAGTCATAATTAAGACGTAGAACGTATGAACAAACCCAAACAGAGATTAAAAGGACGTAATGCGTGCGAACAAGCCCAAACAGAGTCTAAGAGAATGTAAAACGCGTGGATTAACCCAAGCAAAGTCAATAAGAACGTAAAACCAATGGGAGCACGTACTTTTCATAAAGCACAGCCTGTATTGAGATGGGCACACGGGCCAGTGTATCAAACAGATCTGGGTGCTCTTCCCTGAACTGATGGGCCGTCTCCAGCATGTCTACAAAAGTGTTATCTCCTCCCTCGATAGCTTGGTCAAATCTGGGGACGATGGGAGGGGGTGGGGGTGGGAGGGTGGAGAGAATGGGGTTTGAGGGAGTGGGGG